CCCCAAATTGGTGGGATTCTATGATCTTTCTTGAGAAGCGAGCTTTTCACCACCAACTTGGGCTCAAGTCCTATATGACCATAAGCAGTTGCGCTGCAGACAGCCAGCTACGTTGATTCTGGAGAGTCAAATATCTTACATGATCAATCATGTTCACAACAATTGCAAGGATCTTTTAAACGAAATATGTAAGAGTGGTGCAAAGATTACAAAAAAGCAGCACTACATCCTTCCACATTTTTCTTACTAAAATAACAGAAAACTCTAACATCTTTTCACTAGATTCAGCTAGAAACGGCAGAAATAAATACAGTATAATTGCAGATCATTATGGTCGTATTATCATTGAAAAATAAGAACAATAATACTTCTTCTACATAGGTGTTTTATATGTGATAGAAATAACATTTCACCATGTTCTGCAATCTGGAGATATATATATATATATATATATAGGTATAAGTGTATTGTTAACAATATTTCTCATTTAAATATATCATCGTGAGTTTCAATATCCTACAACTGGTAATATATTGTGTGCACTTGATAGTGATATTTTGAAAATTAATTTTACACATATATGGCCATGTCATGATGATTTATGGCTTATTCAAAAAATTATCAGTAAATGTGCTAAATTTTCCTATAATTTTTCAAAATTTCAAAATTCGTAATTGACCTAGTTACAAAACTGCATGAATTGGAGGCTTGAAATATGTAAATCAGAAGGTTTCGAAAATTTCAAATATATGAACATATGAAGAATCAATTCACTGAGTTTTTTTCTCTATTTCAATCGATGTTAATAACGTCTTGATTTCAGCGATGGAGTATGCACCTAGAATCTCATCATCGACTGTAAGGAAGTCACCCAAACGTAAAAATAGAAGGATTTAAAAGTACAAGAATAATTTTTCATTCCACAACCCTTGGAGGTGACACAGGTTGTGGTTTAAAATAAGTTAAAATGGCCGATAAGTATCGGTCATTTCAACTCCTTTTTATCGAATTTATTCTCTCCATTGTTTGCGGGCAAGCATAGTGCCATATCTGAGTGACCGATATATCAGAGACAAGGAAAACTGTTACATACAGTCAAAGAAAGTGGGTGGAGAAGATTCGGGAAAATAAAATCCTGGCAATGATCAAGTTTGTATGGGACGGATAAAAGAATACAAGACTTGGACAACAGTCGTATGTTGTTGTTGGTTGTAGCTGTGGATGGTTGTCATCCAGTGATAACGACCTATGTGACCTAAACCTTAGGTCACATAGGTACAATTACAAAGAAGTCTAATTGGAAGATACGATTTGCATATATGGGGTTTCTTGACCAAAAAGGCTACTAGTATAGCGTTCTTTTTTAAAGCAAAAGCGCCTAGATTGAGTAACTTGAAGACCGTGTGGATTAGTAAGTGACAACTGAGACCCACCGGAATCGTTGAGTTGGCGAGGCGAGGTGATAAAAGTAGTATGAGAAGTATGCTGTCGTTATGTTTTCACTTTTTACCACTTCTTGAGATTATTGAAATTAATGACAGAATATCTATCTACTATAACGATCGACATACTCACATTCATTCTGACCCACACTCCTTTTTGCCTATTTTTTGTATCCTATTCTTATAATTGTGAGCTATGTTAGCATGAAACTCAATCAAGAGCTTGATCAGTGAAATAATCATTTCTTCAAACATAGTATGTACAAGTATAGAATGTGATTTACATTCTACATATGATGAACCACAAATATTTTAAATTGTTAGAAAAAAACTGTCACATTGCATGCAAGAAATCAGATAAGTATCCGATTTAAACTTGATTCATTGGTAATAATATAAATTCAATCAACCTGTTGTAAGCATCATTTTTCTGCAAATCTAGTTACATTATTTAGTTAAAATACAACATTCTAATCACAATTTTTTTCAAAGTTATTATTGGCTGTAGAGGAATCATTATACAATAGTCAATAAGGTTGAAGTTTCAGACTTCTGGTGACTTTACAGCTCTCAGCTTTGAATTGTTTGTTAGAACGTTTTACATCTCTAAAAAATGCCCAGAATATTTCTATAAGACAGTTTTAAATACATTTGTTAATTGTACATGCCACTTTTTATCCAAATTGATATTTAGTTGGAAAAATTGATTTGCTAGTTTAATAAGAGTGATATCTATCAACCAAATAGATTCAAAATGCAAAGTTTTCTACCTCAAGTTATAAATTTAAAGTCACTTATATTTCATTATTTAAAAAATTCAATTCAAAAATAATGAATAAAAAACACATTGTTGGTTCTACAACATGAACCTTTGAAAGCTCATATGAGTTTTCTTTTAATGTGGGTTTCATTATGCTATATTTATTTATTTTTATGTCAACATTTTGAATAAAATTAGAAATTTTACTCTTTTAATTTTTTAAAAAAATAATATAAAATCGTTATTTCTAATCTAGAATCTCTTATATATGAAGGTTTTTCAATTTCACATTTAAGAAAAACAACATTCTAACAGTATAAGCATAACAAAGTCAACACATGTATACAATCGATTAAGAAAATCAATGGTTAAAACAACTATCTTCATTGTGACATTGCATGTATATTGTTTACTCAAGTAAATTTTTAATAGTTTGAATTGTAAATAACTCTAATTCCATGTAATTTTATTATTTTAGATTGAAATGTTATAAAATAAGTTAGAATAAATAAATTATTACAACATTCCAAAATTGAATGTATTGTTATACACATAAAAAATTTTTATGTCTGGTAATTTTAATTATTTTATTTTATTCAAAATTTCCAATTCATTATATTTTTAAATATTTATGACGTAAAATTATTTTCATATTTCAAATTTCAGATATCTGTTAACATTTATGATTACTTACAGTTTATCAGAAACCTACATGAAAATTCTAATCTGAGCTAAAACTCAATCATCATAATCTATTGGTTCATAAAATTTTATAATTCACAAATGATTGCAATTAAAAATATTTGATTTTAGTATTGAACAAATTATTCATGCGTGATCGTATGGCAGCCTTTTCTTTGTTGGCATACTTTGGATCATTATTTTTTAAAAATAAAATTGTTAACATAACACTAAGTTTTCTTCTTCTTTGCATCATGTCATGTTTCATTCAATTAAAAATCAAGTCATCATAATCTCATAATGACTATAAACAACATTGGTTTTATACTATCACTGATACCATAATGTAGATGTTTTCTTGATTTCAATGTATTGATTGTTACATGCATCTATATATCTTGAAAGAATTCACTTTTTTGAACTCTCAAACGTTTTGATATGTAGCTATGAATTTTCTATGTTGTAACTTCTCAATATTCAATATTGTTGTTGATTTTTGGTTTGTTTATGTAATATTGATTGCATTGTTAGCACAACTTGAATCTCAGTAAAAGTTTAAGAAACGTTTGGAATTTGAATGATTCAAAGAGTGATTGCGACGTTCTGGCATGATATCATTCCATCAACTTGCCAGTCACAGTAAGATAGGATAGACTCGCTGTAGAGAAGTTGAATTAGTCATATGCAGTTCATTTCTACACCCCGAACTATGGATAAGTAATGGTGAAATGATGATGTTGTGTGATGTTAATGAAATTTGCTCTTACGAGGACCTAGCTTTTTGGACTTTCTTAAGCTTTGATGTTGTAATATTTGTAGGTGTTACAGTAGAATGCATTATGGGTAGAATCATCAAGGTAAAGTATTGTAAGAATAACATTGACAGCTTGAAATAAACTAACATTTGCTCTAGAAATGCAATTGAGTTCATTGACTTGTGGCCTTCAAATTGCTTGTCTGCATGGTATTGATGTGAATTTTTTCCACCTTTTTTTTCTCATTCGATTCCGTGAGATTTATGTGCTTTTTCTTTGGGTCAGTCTCCCAAACATATCGACATTCTTCTAGCCAGAGAATTGATTTGTAGAACAATGAAAGAAAAAGGCGAAAACCGAGTTGCAGCCGAAATGATTTACTTCCAATTTGAATCTCCAAATATGTGAAAAGTCCGACAGAGACTTTTCGCACATCAAAATCAAAATTTCATTCACTTTCGAGATCGCGCTGCCGGAATGACAACATGACTGCGTCGATAGGCTGGAAGAGGAAAGTAAAGGACACAAGCATTTTGCAATGGGATGCTACAATGCAAGCCTAAAAAGCAGATCGAGTAGGCAAAACGTGGACGAATGACGCGCATCCTGCATGAGACGAGGACACGTCGGACGAACACATCGACACAACGGAAATCGCTGTGGCCCTCACTGAGCGAGGAAGCGCATGGACAGATTTAAGACGTCCCAATTAGGATCCAAGCCCGCGAGACTAATCGCACATTTCCAGATTTAACAACGCGTGCTTAGGAGCAACCGGGATTTGCGTGCGCTTTTGAGTCGCGCTCCAATCAGAAGAGTCGGGGGGCCAAGTGGCAGGGCCCGAGAGGCTATCACGTGGGCTTCTAGGCCACAGCAGCATCGCCCGGAACCGCCATTCACGGGCCGCGCAGCGCGACCCGAACGCGACCCGAACGCGACCGCGAAGTTGAAACCCCCGTTCCCTGCGTAACGACGGCCGCCCCATCTGGAACGACGACGACCACCTTCGGCTACCGGGACCCAGACGCTGGGACGGCCGACCGACAGACGGACCGGACGGACCGAGAGGACCGAGCGGCGGTCTTGCGCGAGAGTCGCCCAGGCTCGCAGGCCTGCCGAGGAGCGGAAGGGGATTGGGCGAGGGCTGCGGTCCGCGAGGACGGATGGATGCCGCGCAGATGTCGGTAGGTGGATCTACGACGGACATATGAAGCAGGCGATGGAGGGCGGGCGGGGAGCGAGAGGTGAAACCAGACAAGGTCTCGGGAGTCGGGAGGCAGGCAGGCAGGGAGGTTTTACCGCGGGCGCGGCCATGCCTTTACCGCATGACTTTATTTCCCGTACACGATGCTTGCCACTTGCGCTGGTGGAGAAAGATCTAACGCAGCCAGGGCAGGTTTTCAGGGGGAGCCGCGAGGGCCGATGGCATCTGGAGTGCAGAGGAATTCTAACCGAGTCCTATGTAGTGGAGCGCCTGAGCCCGAGCTCCAGCGCCCGCTTTCACGATAGCTCGCTCTGTCCCTCGCGCGCACAAGAGGAGGAGGATCACGAGGCCCCGACGCGCACATCTCGATCGAGATTGCACAAGAAGAAGAAGAAGAAGCAGACGAAGGAGAAGAAAGAGCAGCTCGCGAGAGCGAGAAGAGAGAGAGAGAGAGAAAGAGAGAAGAGTGAAGAGAGGCGCAGGAGGAGCAGCTCGCTGCACGAGGAGAGGAGCGGAGGAGAGAAGAGAGGAGAGGATTGGAGAGAAGGTCGGTCGAGAAGGGAGCGCGGAGAGGAGATTGCAGAGTCACGGGAGAGAGAGAGGGTCGAGGTTGGTGGCGTCTGGCGTGCCGACGGAGCGGGGGAAATCTCGGAGATCTGCTATGCTTCTGGAGTGGAACAGAGGCTCGACGTCTCTAGTGTGTCCCGAGTTCTCGTTCGCGGACTTCGGTTGATGGGAGGGCCGATGATGACTTGAGGACATGGCAGCAGGCGTTGTTGGAGCGACACGGGCCGACGAGGTGGTTGCTGCAGCGCTCGGGCTCTAGCGAGATTGGCGATTTTCGACGATCTTGGTTTCTTGGCTTAAGCGGGCACGTCCGCTGCGTCGCTCTCCAGGTCTGGTTCGCCGGTTGCATTTTTTCCCACGAGCGACTTGTGAGCTAAATTGGGTCGGGCCTTAGGGAGTGGAGTGGTGCATGAGAATAATGGGCAGCCTCGTCGCGCCAGACTTCCAGGGCTGCTGCGGTCGTCGATCTGATTTTGAGGTCGTGGACGCCTCCCTCTCGGGATCATAGCTTTCATGCTGTCGATGATGGTCACGACGGTCCTGGTGCTGGTCCAGGTGAAGGTCGGGAGTTTGGCAGCTCTGTCGAGTCTTGAGATCAGTACCTGTGCTTGGTACGCCGACCGGAACCATGACACTTGTCGCAGTCGGAAGTAGGGAACCCGAGTCTGCCTGTGAGATGTCGGGTAGAGAATCTGGCGCCCTCTGAGTCGCTAACTCGTTGGTTTGAGGTTTTGGAGTTCTCTCTCGCGAATCTCGGTTCCGAACTTCGAGCGCCCTGCAGCATTGCAGAATATGTCCCTCGCTCTCCCAACCTTCGCCGAATTACCCGTCGTCAGGTCGAGAGCAATCGTAGCTAGGTGCCCTGCCAGGCCGTGGACTTTGCACGCGGCGCCGTCGGCATTAGTTTCTTCACATGCAGAGGAGAAAAGAGTCATGGGGTAGAAGGAATTAGGATTTGATCGTTCTATCTGATTGAATTTGGCAAATCTGCAGAGGTGGATGACTGATTGACTGCATTCGGTTCAATACACCTGAAGCTCTTGATGCTGTGATCTCGACGATGACAAGATGTGAAGGTTGCTAACTCTCTGTTGTTGTCCTGCCAGGTTCCTGGTAACTCCATAGCTCCGAGAGGACCACTTTTTTGTGAAGTGGAATAGCCGCCTCGGTGTCAACTCAGCCAATGTTCCACCATTCGAGGAGGTCAACATTCTCAGCAGCAGATAATAAGCGGTTTGGATACGTCGACGGCTGGTGTCGTTTTGGTGGACCACCAATCCGACTCCTGCTATAACTCGAAGAGTCCGCATTGGGCGATACCTTGAGTACGCGGCCTTACGACAAAGCTCAATTCGGGCTAGCTTCTGTCCGGCGGATTGTGTGTGAAGACATCTTCGATACCAGAAGCCTTGGCCGAGTGCAATCGGGAGGAGCCCTTGGGAACTACTCGTAAATGTGCGAACGGATTGCATGCTTCTGCCCGTACAGAACTTATTGTCAAGGTGTGCATGAATTAGAGTTTTTCGAAGGGGCTGGTTCACAGGATGCGTCAGCGCTTAGGTGAAGCCCTTGCAGGGTCAGACAGGATATATGAACATGCCTGCTCGCAGATCTGATTACGTTCTGCTGGATCAAACTGAAGCTTCGTACTTCCCAATTTCAGAGCTACCGGAGCCATCGTATCGCCTAGGAGAACAGTTTACTTTTGACTTCTTCAGACAAACTTACCAGGGGCCAGCCAAAGGAATACAGACTTCGTTCGGCAAAGGCCCATGCGCCCAGTCTAATTATGGGGCGTTGGATACATTGTATAGGCCTCCGGAGAAGGCCCAAAATGGGCCCATCGAAAGGGTCCACTCTGGCGGCATACAGGGGATTCCGCCCCCCCGCGTAGACAGAACATCGTCTGGCATCTCCGACAAATGCTCGCATGTTTCATCGGAGGGAAACTACTCTTCGTTGGAGAAGAACCTTTTCGGGAATTCCGATAAGATTGAAAGTGTTGGGCGATTCTCTCCTCCTCGAGAGCCAAATCCCTGCTTGATCTCGCATTCACTCTGGGAGAGAAATTCTGTCCCTTTCGACAAGAAAACAGCTAACCAGACTGAACAAAACTCCAAGCTGGGAGCACGCTATTTGGACAGATCGTTTCTGTCAGAGAATGGAATCGGGCGCAATGCGGCCTCATCCTCAACGTCGTTTCTGACTGATAATGGAAACGGGCGCAAAGGGGCCCTTGCGTCGACCTCGTCATTGAACAGACAGACCAGCGGAGAGAGCTTTACAGATAGTATCTTATCTAGCGATGTCACTCTTCCCACCTCCCCCAACCTTTCACTCAATCCGAGCAATTCGACGTTCCTCAATTCCCTCTATGAGGCCACCAAGCAACTACGGGGTGACGATGAGGAGGTGGAAGAGCCTCCAAAGAGTTGGGCCCAACATGCAGAGCAAAGCTATAACATGCAGTTGGCACTGGCCCTCCGGCTCATGGCAGAAGCCGAACTTACTGCCGAGACCAGGTTGATTGGGTATCACTTCAAGGACAATTCTTGCTCGGCCGCACGTAGATCTGTCGAGGCGACTGCACACCGCTTCTGGGTGCGTTCTCCTGCCTTGCATGTCCTCTGTCGCTGCAGACCCCCTCGTTTCTTGTTTGTGGAGTTCAGTTTGTGGATGTGGCTCGTAGGCAATTTGTTCCGAAAAGTTCTCGGCAATTGAATCTGACTCGGCATTTCATTGCGGTGGAGCCTGAGATGGTTATGAACTTCTGTTATGTGATCGAATTGTCCCTGCGTCTTCAATGTAACAAGTAAAAGAGCAGGGATCAAGTGACTCATTTATGACTCAAGCTTTGATCGCTCCTGACCAACGCAGGTGAACGGAAGTCTTGGATACAGCGATGTCATTCAAGATGGATTCTACATGATATGGGGCATGAATCCGCAGGTGTGGACCATGTGCAATTTCCCTACTGAAGGGAATAAGATGCCATCCCTGGAGTCCCTCAGATCGGTAAACCCTGCTGAATCTTCCTTGGAGGTGATCCTTGTAGACAAGAACGGAGATTCCATGCTCCGAGGTTTGGAGAGCAAGGCCATTGCCATAGCTCAAGAAGCCTCTAACTCTCGGAAGCTTGCCGAACTCCTCGGTCAGCGTGTTTGTAATCTGTTTGGGTAAGTTTTTCTACACAATGGAGTGCTTGTTTTTTGGCACACTTCACAAGTTTTAGTCTTGTCTCACGTCACCATCTCCTGGACTGACCTCAACTTCGTCTTCCCTTTTGAAGAGGTGTGTTTCCTTCTGAACATGGGGACTTGATGTCGCGCTGGCGATCAAGTAGCGAGCAGCTCAAAGAGTGTCTCGGCAGCATTGTCCTACCTCTTGGAAATCTTTCGGTTGGCCTATGTAGACACAGAGCTTTACTCTTCAAGGTACGTAAGGTTTATGCATCTCCTGATTATTCACTATTTTGACCTGACCGTATTCTGGAGGTGAATTGGGTACTTAACATAGCTTACATCAAACTCATGGTGCTTGCACCTAACGGCCAAATGCTTATTGCAGACGCTGGCCGATAGTATCAAGCTGCCATGCCGGATCGCCCGTGGATGCAAATACTGTGGGTCAGACGAGGGTGCATCGTGCCTTGTTTTGTGTGAACCAGACAAGTACGTTTACTGAGTGCTCTTAGTACTTTACTGCATTGTCGGTTAGGTCACGATTTTCACATGTCGCTTCACTATCGGTCTTGAATTGTGCTGCGATCATAGCAGGGTTCTCGTCGGGATTTCCAAGTCATGATTTTAACGCGATTTTCTTTGCTTTTGTGTTCCTCAGGGAGTTCTACGTGGATCTAATAGGAAACCCTGGATTCCTCTCGTCCCCGGATTCTTTATGGTCCAATTCTTCCATGTCTTTGCGATCCCCTTTGAGATTTGCAGATTCCAGTAACTGCTTTTCTGACGAAGTCAGATCTTGGAGCAGGAGCTTTCAAGCGGAGGGTAGTTCCTCCGGAGGACGTTCTTCAACTGATTCCCGGCAAGAAGAACGTGAGTAATGCTTTGGAATGTGATTGAGTCTATAATGGTTCCAGTGCCTAAGAAGAGCTTGGTTTTCAAGCTTTGTTAGACCAACCTAGCGTAGAGATCATATGTATATTATGTGTAGGGATCACTTCGGTGGTACTCATGTCTTATCTCTACAGTCATATGACACTTGATTGTAACAAACGGTAACAGACTACTGTGGGCTAATATACTGCACTTGATTGTCAAATTCCCGAAGGGAGATGAATTGTTTCTCCTTGTCACGGAATAAAATCTTTTTCTATATTAGTGTGGCTTCGACATTAGTTTTCTAATTATTTACACATGTTCTAACGGCAGTAGCATAAGTTGGGGTGTTGAGGGACGTGCTCCGCGTGGACCAGATAACGAACACGTCAGTTATTGTTAATGAGAGGAACATTTTTTCTCCAGCTGCGGAGTTGCTCTTGGGGTGCGAGCTCTTTACTCAATCCAGCGTTTCGCGTTTGTTTATGCAGCTGTGGGTGGCAGGAGGAAAGGTGGCGGAGATCCAGGCCAATGGTTGCCTTCGGGATCGACCCAGATGACTTTATCCGATGATACACCCGGTGCCGAAGTGTGGGCAGTGATGAAAGTTTCGCAAGAACGTGCCTACACAGTATTCAAGGATCAACTGGACAACAGGAAAGTTACAGGGAGAGGAGTGGCGAAGACCCTTTCATCTGGAAATATGTCATTCGTTGCTGAGGTAACAAATGACCTGCTAAATCCGCCGCTGCCAAGGAGTGCACCTGATGACGCTTGTGGTCTCACATTCCACAAGGAGAGTTCGCCTCCAAAAGGCTACGGAAAGCTATCAGAACCAGCTATTCAAGAATCTATAGCAGGACGCTGTTTGGAGTCTAAGAACCATCTTGGTTTTGTAAACTCGTGTGTCGGGGTGGAAATGTGCGGCATACCCAAAAGGCCAGAGCCGGTATCTCAAACAGATGACTGGGAAATACGATGGGAAGATATATCGTTGAGAGAGCGGATTGGTGGAGGTAATACTTCATATCACCACTTTCCATGCTGGCGAATAGAATTTCCCATCCTGCCATGGTTTGTTCCTGAAGGTCGAAATGTTGAATTGAAAGCATCTAATCTGATCTACTGGAAGTGAGAATTTTAGGCTACATACTTCGAACTCAGTTAATCTTATCATTTCTTTCTGAAATTGGCAGGTTCGTTCGGGACAGTACATCGGGCGGACTGGCATGGCTCGGTGAGTAACAAGCATCTTTTCTGTATCTCAATGTACACGAAGGCAGCATCAACAGTCAAATTTTCTACAAAATTTAGTCTGCGGAACCTCGTTGCCGATCTCTTCCGACGTACTTGAAGTTTACTTTTCTCAAATGCTGGTCAACGGAAACACTGGCTTATCTTTCTCTTTCTTCTCTTCAGGATGTGGCAGTCAAAATTCTCATTGAGCAAGATGTTCACGAGGAGCGGTTGAATGAGTTTCTCAGAGAGGTGAGTTGTAAAGCATCGACAACGCCTGGCATTATTGTTTTAATTACAGTTTTGAATTGCAGATTCTAGACTTCTCTTGTCCAAGTATTGTACACCAAGGGATCAACAGTCTTCGATCTTTCGAAGTAAAGTGCAATGACAAGTCTAGGTTGTTTTATATCGACACTTACAAGGTTTTGTTTAGGCATGCCATATCAACATGTTCTGAGCTGTTTCCATCTTTTCGTGATGTAGGTCGCAATAATGAAAAGGTTAAGACATCCCAACGTTGTCCTGTTCATGGGTGCTGTATCAAAACGTCCAAATTTGTCTATTGTCACCGAGTACCTGCCCAGAGGTAGCTTGTTTAAACTGCTACACAAGTCTGGAGCCAGAGAGTCACTGGACGAGAGGCGTCGTCTGCGTATGGCCTTCGACGTGGTATGTCTTACCACCATATCTCAACCTACTTTCTGATGTGATGAACACTGGTCCTGCTCAATTATCAATTTTAACTTGCATGGACCTTGAGCTACCTTGATTTTGCTGAAACGCGAAAAGACGAGTTTACCTGTACCTACTTGACGTAATTAACGGATGTTCGCTGATCTTTGCAGGCGAAGGGAATGAATTATCTCCATCGGAGTAATCCTCCAATCGTGCACCGTGATCTTAAATCACCTAACCTTTTGGTTGATAAGACTTGGACAGTCAAGGTAGGTAATTGGTGGATTGGTTATCTTCTCAATTTTTATCGTAATCCTCAACAATAAACTTCGTCGAGGGCTGTTTCACTTGTGGAATTTACTTTTAATAGATTCATCTGGCGCGGCACTGGCTTTTGTTATATAGGAAGGAACTAAGCTTGTCAACATTCAATCCCGCAGGTTTGTGATTTTGGACTCTCAAGGTTTAAGGGGAATACTTTCTTGTCTTCTCGATCTGGAGCTGGAACGGTAAGATGTCTACAGTTTGATTATCATCATAAGTAGTGACTGCTGAATAAAAGAGTGATTGTACTTTCCATAGCACTAAATTAAATATTTTAGGTCCTGGCTGAAAAGTATGTCGCGATCGTGGAACTTGGTACTAATTCTATTTTTAACTACTTGCAGCCGGAATGGATGGCGCCTGAAGTTTTGCGGGACGAACCGTCAAATGAAAAGTCGGATGTTTATAGTTATGGTGTCGTTCTCTGGGAGCTTGTAACCTTGCAGCAACCTTGGAATGGCATGAGCCCAGCCCAGGTATCTTCTTTCTTTTGGCCTAACAAGTAAAATGTGTCCCTCTTCACGTCGAGCTAGAATCTGGATAGGATAGGAAAGCAGGGTGTGGGAAGTCACGTAAGTTGCAATAAGATCGAAGAGGATGGAGTGCAGAGTGCAAATTACAGCTTGGACACCTTTTAAATGATCAAATTTAATCACTTACACAGTATCCTCTTCTTTGCAGGTAGTGGGTGCTGTAGGCTTTCAAAACCGGCGGTTGCAAATTCCTAAAGAGGTTCATCCTGATATCGCGGCACTTATCGAGGCATGCTGGACGAAGTAAGCTTAGCTGAAATTCTTACTATTTACAGTATTCCCAGTGAGTTCTTCAGTTCAAGAGTTTCTCCGGTTTCCGTGAAACCTCCATAAGGGCACAGAAAAGATACCTGACGGTTTTTTCTTCTCGTCATGAAAAGTCTCTAAAACTCGGATTTTCGATTGCAGTGAGCCATGGCTGCGACCATCCTTTGCAGACATTATGCTGTCGCTGAAGAATTTTCAGAAGGCAACACTTGCGCAGCCGCACAATGGCCTCTTTCCCAGAGCTGCGAAGGGAGAGTGATATATATTACGTGATAAAGAAAGCTAGATGATTTCTGCTTACTGCCTTCAGCACTGAATGCTCTGCTTCAAATAAGGACTTATGTTGGCAGTCTCCGGTACGTAACGGTCTCCATAGGTCGTCTCAGCCGATATTAAGAATTTTTAGAACAGACGAGCTTAGTTTGTACAATTCTTCTTATGATAGTCACGTAGTACCAGTGAATTTTCTTGTCTCTAAGGTTAGTATAGATCTTGCTTATAGATAATAAGAGTAATGTTGATATGGAAAAAACGAGCATTATTTGCATATACTTGTATGCCATTGCAAGTCCCATCTGAAGTATTCGCTCCTATTTCTCGCTGAATATCCCCTGTTTCACTAGCGTTTCCTAACGCCAGATTGTATTATGGCGCAGGTCAAATTCATTCCCACATACACACGGGCTGTCTGGCGATCGGCACTTCCCTTTGTGCTTTGGCGTAGGTTTCCTGAGGACCAAAACACATCCAATCGTGTTTGTGGCTTGATGGTGTACACTAGTAACTTAACGGTGGAGGCCATGTGTTTGGCCTCCTCTTTGAAACGAGATGTTTGTATTCAAGAGATAGTTCTGACGGGAATGTTACCATGTCAAAATTGTAGTTTAGTATTGATAGCCTCATATGGGTTAGACCTCTAGTAGCCAGAGGTTTGCCCCCAGAGATAGATCCATAGCCTCGCAGGCTGGCCGTTTGGCCTCCTAAGAAGTGGTTTCCACTGGTTCCACTACACATAGATGTGGTGTTAGTAAAAATGGTAAATTGTTTGTCCAAAATTCTTTCTATGAGATAACAAAGGTTATCAATCTTGTTGTCTATCACGTCTGTGTTGAACCACAGAAATAGAAACGTCGATTTGGCCTTGAAAGAGGACGTTGACGTGTTGAAGCAGACTTTCGGGATCCATGGGCATGCGTACTTTTCATCGACATGGTTGGTACTAGTTTGTTAGCCATGCCTGTATGGTATGCACCTCTGAGTTAGGACAGTACCTGAAAGTTGAGAGCTGCCAATGTTGTATACCGGCGATTCTATTTGTATCCCTGAAGAACAGTGAAAGCCCTGACCCTCAGGCAAGACTTCGCTTTCTTTCGCGACGGCTGATTTCAGCAGCAGATCGGACAGACGTGTGCTTGCTGCACCTCAGTGGATCTCAATTTGCGCACCCTGAGTTCAAGACCCCAAGGAAGGTGGTGGTGACCCTAGAGGAAAGCAAGTGCTTATACATTTTGGGAGTCCCAACTACCCCAAAGTATAGGTACGGTATGAAGAAAGAGGGCGCACGCACTTGTCACACAAGGCTCCTTTTCTGCCCCTGTAAGTATATTCAAGATATCGTGAAAGGTTTGCATCGTATCCAACGAACCGTACCACAACAATAACTCAATATAAACGTAACTTCGACCCTACTCGAGGTCAACTTGTTCACGAGGTTAGCCCATTTGTACACTCATGGCAGTCACCTTCCTGAAGCGAAGCACTCCCATGCGTGTGACCTCACAAATGAACGGCCCTCTTCACTGTGTTGTACAGATGCGCATGTTTTCAATGGTACGCTTGCCTGACAACTTACACCATACAAGAGGCAAGTCAATACCAAGTTCACCTCACCACGAAGGTTTTCCCCTGGCACAGTTGCAGCATCTTCCAGCGGTAGTAACCTAAGTGGTCAAATTTATTGAGATTATAGAGCCACATTCAAAGGAACGGTCCTCAGTTTGCAGGTGTCTTCTGTGTCCCAAGTACTGCATTTCCTGATAGCAAGTGCAGTGAAGAACAATGACATGTTTTCGTGATGAGTATCAGTTGTTCCACGCGTAATTTGTATACAGTATAAAACACCCATACAAATTGTTGGAGGTCTAAGAACTTTTAAGAGGGGCTCTTGCTTTTTGAACACAGATTTCCTAGATAGCGTAGTTCTTTTTAAAGCTTTGTGAACATGTGATCAAGAACGAGATGAGGAAACTTATTTGAGCTATCTGAAAACGTTTTTTATTTCACATCTGTGCATTCTTGTATCTTTTACGTCATGTTTGGCCCATACCATGTGACTGGCGAGATTCGCCCGTGTGTAAGTGTGCGCTATTCGAGTATACGGAGTGGATCCCTGGAATTCATTGACGTTCGGCACTCGTTCAGTCCAAGGGCATGTAGAAATGCCATAATAGCTCTGCATGGTCTGTCGTATCCAAATCCCACGATGTTGACTTCCTATTCCTATCCCGAGGTTGCCTGGCAAGCAATAAGGGATTGATTGATTCCATGTCCGCCCAAACCACGGCCCGAAACGAGGTTGGACCTGGAGGTTTTCTCGAGAAGAAATTACTAACGAGGTTGAGGACCACCGACGCAACGCAGAGCTCAGTGTACTTTAGGCCTCTACTGATCTCGGAGGGGAATCATACAGTTCAGACATGGACAAGACATCATGGGCTGCATCATGGATGACGTGTGTATCGCCAAGGCCGACTGCCCTTTGTGGTTGTACTACTCATCATCCATTCACCACACTCCCCAAAGCTTTGTCGTTCATTTGGTGGGAGACGAGGACGAGGAGGGGCAGCAGGCGTAGCAGGAGGAGCCAGGATGTCAATTGCGAAACGGAGTTATGATGAAGTGCGTCATTCGTCTTCGAAAGCACCGTGAGGGGAGAGACAGAGGTAAGCTTCCGCACTCATGCTTCGCTCGAGACGAGGTTGTTCCAGTGGCCGAGAGCCGAAGCAAGGGAGGGTTGGTCCAAGAGGATGCTGCAAAGCTCCTCGACGGACGATCCGCTTCTAGAAACACACCACGTTGAACCCCGCCATTGGATCGGCGGTCGCAGCAGCAAAGTCTGATTTTGACTGTTTCAACCATTGCACATGCCCAAGCTCCCCTCCCTCCCTCCCTCCCACCCACCTTTCCGGCCTTTCCTGCACTTTACCAACTGCCCCTGGATTCGTAGCGTATCTTCTCTGCTGTTGCTCGCCCAACAGCTCAACTCCAACGAGTAAACCCCTTGCCTGCTTTTATCCTTTCTCCCATGCCTTTTGCTTCATCGCCCCTCGGCCGAGAAGTTGAGTGTTCCCTCCCTCTCTTGCAATCTGAGTCGTCAGACCACCTCCCCTCGACCCTCAATCGCTTCGGGGGCTCACCGGCTGGGCTGCTCACGAGTTCATGCCTGGCATGGTTCGAGAAATCGGGAGCCGGGGGATGGGGAAGGAAAGGTAGGGAGGGGATGTGAGTCACGTGGAGTTGGAGCTTTCCTAGTGACGCTCAGCAGGCAGATGTACAACTCGTCAAGAACAGGAACCAGCAGCTAACACTCGCCGAGATGCATCCCTCATTTTCCACTTCGATGCAGGAGTTGGAAAATATCAATCGGAGCAGTTGCCTTTGTGTCTTCAAAATCCGATAAGAAAGGGCCGGAGGGTGTGACTCTCCGACAGGTCAGGCACTGTCAGAAAAGCACGGACTCTCCGCCAAATTTACAACCGCTGCAATTGCAAGGCTCTGCCGTCCTCTTTCTGATATTTGTGGCATTCCCGGTCAGGAACAGGCCTATGGCATTCCCTGTCGCCGAAGACTCAGAATCAGACTGCAATTTACCACTTGCTGGCTAGCGCATTGTGAGAAAATGATGTGTGTCTTGCATATGCATTGATGTTTCTAAGATCACGACCATCCTCATGCGGTTCCAGGCATTAGACGACATCCGATGTTGTAAATCATCGAATGCTTCGATTTTGCATATACCAATGGTTTTTGTATATTGCTTTTGTAATGTATATCTAAATTGATTATGATCATATCGTTTGATTGAAATATTTTTTTAATGTATTTTTTATTTAATAAATTATTATTAATTAAAATTTTTACTAATTATTTCATAAAAGATTATTTTATAATATCATTTAACAATTTATATAGGTTTCGAAATAATAAAAATTTATACAAAATATTTTTAATGTAAAAAAATACTTGACATAAATTTCTATTATTTTGAGATCAAAATAAATTATAAACATTAAAAAAATTATTTATATTATATAACCAAAAATAATTATTTCATCATTTTTATAATTATAAATTTTAAAATACATATATAAAATAATATGAAAAAAATCTCAAGATACTCAACAAATTTACAATTCCATTGAAAGACAAGATAAAATTATTTATGTTTCTATTATTTTGAATTTTTTTATTTTAATTTGCAAGTATCATTGTTTCCTGGATATCCAAAATTTAGTATCAAATAATTATTACAACAAGTCATATAAAGAACATTTTCATTGTTCATGATATGCTTGGAAATGTTCAACATCTTTGCATAGGTATAACATTTCATAATAACTTATAATTATCCTTGAGTAATTTCTTTCCGAGATTCTTAGATTAAAATTAAATTGTATAAATACAATAACAAACATATTGCAATCATATAAACCACAGTAACTAGTAAAACACAATGACAGTTGCATACGCACTACATCAAGCTAGAGTGATTTATTATTTAGTTAAATGTTTTATAATCTAAAAATTACAAAGTTAAATATACCAAAATGTGTAATCATTTTTAGTTAATTAGAACTAAAATAGAGTTTCTTAAAGATAAAATCATAGTTACTTTAGAATGCATTAGTCATAGTTACCGTGAACATTTTCTGTGTTTTAGTGATAAAGATTGTGTGTGTTGGTTGAAAGTGTCATTTCAAAAATCCATATGCTTGTTAGAATTACTCGTTATGTCACCCATCCATTACAAGTTGGATGTATGATATCAATAAGATCTTTTTTCTTTGTAATTGTTAGTAAAATTTACATAATAGATACTACACACATCATTCATATTTTTCATCTTTAGAGTTTATGTTTAATTCTTTAAGTGAATTATCTCTAAATACTAAGATTGTAATGTTATTTGAACAACTTTGTTCTTTCCTTGAGTATTGACTATTTCTTATATAATAACAAGTGAGTGAAAGATTCATTGATTTGCACTTAAAAAGAAGAGTATAGAGAAAAATTGTGGTTTTGTACATATAGAGATGTTTGACAAAAATCCGATACACATTGGTCAATCTCTAAGCTATTCATATCTATCTTTGTCGCATGGAGAAACATCATTTCAATAAATATCTTATGATTTCTTAGGTTGCAAATTGTATGATTAGAGTGATGAAATACAAAGTGACATTGATATTTCCAATAGTTAATTATGAAAAGATATCAAATTGTATTATATATAATCTAAATTCAAATTTTGATGGATTTGAATCATGCATCATCTATCTCAATTTGATTCAAAAGCTATGAATAGATTAAAAAAATATATTGACAAAAGAGATTGCAAAGATATTTTCTTATAAATAAATATGGAAAAAATATTATAAGATTGTTATACAATCTCGTACAACTTTTTGAATATTGTATTGAGATCTCAGATAATTATTATACTTATCTTGTATTGAAGTGAGTGTGAAAAAACATAAGTATATCTTTTGGTATGGATGAAATTCTCAATATTCATGTACCTTTGTAATAGTTAAAACATCCGGTTCTAAAGATGATGAATATTTTCTTGAATTTATGACAAACATTGGGTACATGAATATATTATATATATCGGAATTTTTGGACGATATTTTTATGTAGTACAAAGATATTTTTCCATATGATCTATTGAATAGATTATAAGATTGAGATGACATTTAAAATTACATCAACTTGAAAAGTTCCATATCATTTGGTTCCAAACGAATTGAAAAAATACTAAGTTTAAATGAAAAAGATGTTGAGCAAGGATGCTTTCAACATTGATCTATCGTAATGTAACTTTAGTGCTATTTATGAAGAAGAAATATGGATTCATGAGATTATGCATTGATTATCGTGGATTGAACGAA